ATTACAACGCTTTATTGTACAAACAGAATAGAATCATTTTTATTCAATTAGTTACATAATATATAATTCTTACTGAAAATCATTTATATAAAAATTAGAGATTATATATATATATATATATATATATATATATATATATATATATATATATGTGGCGTGTGTGTGTGTGTGTGTGTGTGTGTGTGTGTGTTGTACATATTAGAGAACATAACTATTACATCCCGTGGATTTTGTAAGAATCCAAAAGCATATAACTGACAATAAAAATCAAAGTAAAAAAATATACATGGTACTGTCATAGCTATTATATACAACCACAAATATCCAAACCAATAAAAGTTCGCCGGAGAAGCTAAATGTTAAATATAAAATTATGTTTAAGACTTAACATTAAATTTTATAAGCTAACAAACGATGGAAATTTGATGGTAAGTGGATGCTGTGGCCTATAGACGTCTACATTTATCCTCAATTAAGAATCAAAAGATGCGTTGTTACCCCTGAGGACTAGATGGTATGCTAGGATCTCTACACTCACCATAAGAACACACAGCATCACTAAGTTACTATTTCACGCTGGTATTCTGTGAGAACGTCGTCCTAGCCCGGTCGAGCCGACTATATAAAATTACAGACTTTTTTAAAATTGTTCATATTTATACACATATTAATATGTATAAATATGAACAATTTTAAAAAAGTAGATTTTTTGGGAAATAAAAATATTTGAACTAAATGACATTTTAATCAGAAATATATGTATAAACATATAGATAATTATGTAATAAGGGATGAGGGTTTTTGATATAACATATTTCACGCTGGTATTCTGTGAGAGCGTTGTCCTAGCCCGGTCGAGCTAACTATATAAAATTACAGACTTTTTTAAAACTGTTTTATTTATACATATTAATATGTATAAAAATATGAACAATTTTAAAAAAGTCTGTGATTTTTTGGGAAATAAAAAAATTTGAACTGAATGACATTTTAATCAGAAATATATAAACATATAGATACTTATGTAATAAGGGATGAGGGTTTTTGATATAACATATTTCAAATGTGAAACCCTAAAACACGTTACATATTTCAACTCACATTACAGAACATTTCCCATGAGAGGATATAAGACTCGCAACCAATTTAGTGCAAGTATAGGAAATATCATATTTTAATTACGCAAATCCGCAAATGATATCTTCCTACACCATTAATGCAAATATCAGCGTAAAGTAATCGGACACTTTTCTTTGCAAGCAGCTCGTAGAAAATTGTGTAGGAAAATTTTATATGGTGCCTTTAACATTGTTTTATGTTTAACTTAAACAGGTGTTTTATGTTTCATAGTAAATCGCGAAGAACTTGTTTCGGTTTGATTTACTGAAATTCTGGATCCCACTACAAGCAGTAATCGCTACACATAAGACATACAAGTCGCGTATTGCACTGGTAAGGTAACGACAAGTTGCGAATTCGAGTCCTCTAGAAACAAACAATTGTGAAACGAACTGTTTGTATTTATCTATATACAAAAATTAAGTGATATATACATAAATATTATATAGCTCACTGGTTTGTATAGGTTGAGTCTTAATTTACATTTGAGAGCTTAATTTCAAAGTCTCGAATTAATCTGTCATACGTCTCTCATAAGTTATTAGTTCCACCGCTTCGGCCGCTTCTAACGAAAAGCTCTTATTCTACCACTTAATTGACCTTACACATGGGCCAAGCGCCAATTTAAAAAAAAAATTGTATAATATGGGCAGCCAATGACCAGACTTCCTCGGTGGTGAAGGTATTTGAAAACGTCCTACCTTGCATATCATCATTCATCATCATCACATCTCTTCACAAGTCCACTGCTGAACATAGGCCTCCCCCAAGGAATGCTACAAAGCACGGTCATGAGCCACCTGCATCCATCGACTTTCTGCATGTCTTAGCAGGTCGTTACTTCATCTAGTGGGGGAACGCCCTACACTTTGCCTGCTGGTACGAGGCTCCCATTCGAGAATTTTTTCCCCGTCCGTTATCGGTTCTTAGAGCTATATGGCCGGCCCATTGCCACTTCAGCTTATTAATCCATTGGACTGTCGATCGCTCTGGTTCTACTGCGGATACCCTCATTCCCAAGTTTATCACGCAGAGAAACTCCGAGCATAGCCCTCTCCGCATATCTGAAAAGTGAAATATGACAAGTATCCAAGACACGTAAAATACGTACATAATAAAGTAGAGTAGGCACGTAAAGAGGTGGTTTCTTAAGAATGGTATGTTATATGGTTACAGCCTATAAAAAGTCCACAGCTGAACATAGTTAAGCCGTGGCATCGCCCGTAGATTACTTCATAGGGGGGTATCTGCCATAGTTGTAACACTTGGCATTTGGGTTGGCAGTTGTAATTTTGGTATTTAATTTTTAAGTTGATATTAAGAAGACTCTGCAACCCATCTCACTGTTTTCCGCCCGTCTCTTCCTACGTTTCCCACGGGACGATACGGAGTAGTAGGCAATATTCAAAGTGATGGCATATGTATCATCAAAAGAATTGTTCCTATTTCGTTGTGTCATTGTTCAATTTCTTTACAAGGTACGATAAGATTCAACTCAGTACAGTCCAACTTCGGTTCCCGTAAGGTTGGTGCAACATAGCGCATAACACTAAACCGTCAAACGGGTTTGCAACGAATGCCATAATAAAAAGTTGCTCGAGAGACGCGGCAGGCAATCCATAAACATATTTTATTCACGAGCAGAGCGACAGCGAACTACGAAAGAAGAACCTAATATTAATAATACTTCTGATAATTAATTATTATTAAATGCAAATAAAAAATATACACTACTTGTGACGTCAAAAAGTTACAGTTAACTACGTCCCACTCATGGGCACAGGTCTTCTCTCATATCTGAATAGGTTTTGGGGCTAGGAAAAGGTTTCCTCACGATGTTTTCCTTCACCGTAGAGCATGTGGTAATTGTGATGTAGGTACTCAATGTAATTTTTTAAATAATTAAAAGATGTGTATTTTATTTAATAAATATTTTTCCTCGTAGTTTAAAAAAGCTCATGACGCTAACTGACAATTTTCGTAACTATCTACTATTATTAGTATACTATTCATTTTTATGTTACAGTCATAAAATTTAATTTTCTTTAATAACCGCTCCTCTTTTATATATAAAACCGGCCTAAAAGCGGACGCGGACGGCGGATACCTCGATTGGTTGAACCAGCTCTAAAATTACAACTTTTTACGTTTGTTCACCGTTCTGGCCACTTATTTTTTAGCACTTCCTCGCCAAATTCTATAAAGCAGACAGATATGTACTAGACTTATGAGCAAATTAATTATAATTATAAAGAAATGTGGTTTTAAACTATAAAAACGTGGCATGGTATCATAATAATCCAAATACAGCATTAAGAACAATAAATTATAAATCTATATTATAACTGCCCCGTAGGTCTAGTGGTAATAAGCACAATTGCTGATAACGCCCGAATTCGAATATACGGTTACCTGGTAGAGCCAAAATCAGTTATTGGGTTTTTTTATCAGGAAATTGTTAGAAGCAGCCCAGAGTCAGAAAGTTGACGCTGTTTCATCCCCGTGCCTCGAAAAGTACGTAAAGCCGTTGATCCTGCGCCTGATCTCTCTCCGCTGATGTCGGACTATCAGAATGGAAGAACAAAATATAATATAAAATTGAAGGTATTTCCTCTTTGGAGAGGCCCATGATCAGAAGTGAACTTTTACAGTTTAGTATAGCGAAATAAATATAAAGAAGATTTTTAGTTACATTATTTTATAATCTAACGTCAGTTGATATTAAATCTATGATTTCATAAGATTACCTACCTACTCATAGAAATATCGGTGTGTTTCATTCCATTCTTACAATCAATATTCTTAATAAATTATAACATATTATGTAAGTGTATAAATATGCCTATTTTTAGAAAATGTGGAATTATCTGTGTTCTTAAAAAACTTATAATATTTTAATTTAGAATAGGTACTAAACTAGAACCTTATTATTGTACTAACGAAAATTAGACCACGTGGTATAAAAATGTATTTGTTACGTTGCTTAAAAGAGTATCCCTAATAAATATTTTTATTAAAAACCAAGAGCAAGAACCGTGATGGGAGTTTTTGGTTTTGTCATTTTTGTTGTGGCGAGTGGAGGAGACGCGAGCGACAACAAACCACCGAAATCCTCCGATAAAAGCCGAGCGCACCCGAGTGGAAAACGAATCTCGCTCCAAAAGCCAAAACGTGATCGCGCTGTTTGTTGATTTGAAAACAAAATCCACCCGCCCGCAGCGGGCTCACAACTCAACCGAATTGCAGGCTCGCTCAGCTCAGTGCGCGAGCAAGCGTGATACGGAATGAACGTGTGGTGCGTTTTGCGCGGACGTTGACACTGCGATTTATTTTTTATATTTTGCGATTTATACAGCCAGAATAAAGACGTTTTGGAGTATAAAGTCGGGAAGTAAAAAGTTTTTACTGTCCAAAGTTTATTTGCTGCAGTTCGCGCAGAGTTTTGACCAATATTTGTGTATTTCCGTATAGACGCGAAAATTAAAGTGAAGAAGACTCGATACTAAGGACTGTTTTGTACATTTTCGCAACAATTGCGAAATTGTGTTCAAAAAAAATCTGTTCTGGCTTAATCGTGGAGGGCACAGGAAAAAAAAATCACCGCCCTCGGCCAACTAGTTCGGACTCAATCTGTGGTCACCGAACGAAAAACAAAAACGCAACGAATTCTTGTATTGTTACATCTAACAAACTCTTCGCAGAGGTTCTTTTAAATTCTTGTTAAAACTTCGTGAACTTTGCAATCACTCATTTCAAAATTGCAGTGAGTTGTCCGAACGTATTCGTGATTTAGTGGATCAGTTTGCCGACTACGCAAAACAAGCTCTAAGTTTGGATCAAAATTAGTGTCGAGTTGGTTTTACATAATGTCTACTGCCATAATGCATCAGTCTGCGCTGTATGATTTTGGGGATCTGTTCTTGAAGGTAAGGTTAATTCTATTACTTTTAATTTGCTCCTTGTTATTGACTTTTTGTTTACAGTTCATTGGTTATATATAATCATTTGTTTCGCATTGACCACGTGTAAAATTTACACTTGTACCCATAAATTTTGTTACTATGAGCACAGAATAAATAATAGTACTATGAGCCTTTTGTGCTCTCAAATGAAATGCTTACCCTAGGAACTTTACTTATACATAAAACACCTGTAATTTGTCAAACATTATTAATTTACATTTTTTCCTGCTACCGGGTTAAAAGAAAAGTGCATCATGATACAATCTATAAAAAAGTATGTAAGTACCTAGTTTTTTTTTATTTGGTTACCTGCATACTTTCTTATCTAGTAAAAGCAAGTCGTATAATGCGTACCTAAATCTTGACATATCATATAGTTTAAAGTTATAAATGGGTTGATAGTCTGAATGCTAGTACCTTTTCATACAACTTCATAAAATAAAAAAATTGTGCTGATGCTATTACAGTTAAAGTAGGTAATAAATTATTTGTATCTGTAGGTATTCCTAAGAAAATTTTTAATTAGGTACTTTTAAAATATTAGATACTGGTAGAAATTACTGTTAAGTTGGAGAGGTCGCGCAGTAAACGCTCCGTCCCCCTCGAGATATGTTTTGTAAGACCTACCACAAAAAAAAAATCCAAAAGCTCACCGATCACAATCTTATTTAATTTGGACAGAACCAAGGCCAAGTTTGTACTAAGGCTAAAATAGCTATCCAAGTGAGGAACCAGAGTACCAAAACTAGCTAGGTTTCGCACTGTATCAACATAAAAGGCGACCGCATTACTCACTTTCGATTTGCCAAAGATATAGTCATAATGGAGAATCGCTGGTGGTCGATAATGTCTCCTAACGGATAAGTTTTGAGATGAACATTGACAACGCAAAGTTCATGTGTAACGTCAATGTATCACCTATGGCTAAATACTACGCTCGAAGTTGTGGTGTGTATTTATAGGATAGGATATAGGATTGTCCAAAAAGTAGGTTAGTCCAACTTCGGCGAAGAGAATCAAACGATGGGTCCCACTCGGCTGGACAGCAATCGGCAGATTACGACATATCTCATTACGTATTCCTTAGAACTTGCGTAGACGTTATTCTTCATTGCTTTATGAACTTTTCTGCGTCATAGAATTCGAAATGAATATATTCGAAATAGAACCAAAGTAACCGACATAGCCTAATAGAGTAAACTTAAGTGGCAATTAACCGGCCATAAAGCTCGAAGAACCGACAATTGATGGAGAAGAAAGGTTATGGAGAGGCAGTCTCGTGCCGTTAAGCGAAGTGTGTGTGGGTAAACGGAATGAAGACCTGGTAAAACATGCAGGAGGTCGATGGGATACAGGCTGTGGCTTCGGACTGTTTTTTGTGGCATTCCTTGGAAACAGAAACAGAAACTTTTTTATTCAATGTAGATTATAACAATACTTATTGAAAGTTTCTTTTTTTTTTCATTTACCACTGGTTCTGGTTCTGGTGGTGTAGAAGACCAATTCTTAGCAGTAGTCTTCTGAAGCGCTGTAATGATGACATTAAGTGTAATGTAAAAATGTGGTAAAATTAAAAAAAAATATATACAATTACTGACTTCAAAATATATAAAATGAGAACATCAGTCTAAGTCAAATACGCATTATTAAAGGATAACTCAAAAACTTCTGGTCAGATTTTGATCAAATTTATCATCGAAATTTGTTTACCTAGCAAGGGTTCAGAGGTAACACACCATTAAGTAATTAGATAACACACATAAAAAATATATTCGAATTGAAAACCTCTTTTTTTTTGAAGTAGATTGATAAAAAGATGTAAATTCAGTTGATAATATACTAGTATCAGTATTGGGATTAGTAGGAAGATGGTATTGTGACATAAGGAATGTAATTTATTATTTAATAAGTAATATATGAGAAATAAATAATTTAAAATTTTAAATATGTACATACATTCAAAAAACATAACCCAAGGCAGTCCGGCAAAATACAAAAACAATATAGTTACCATGTTGTCATACATGTAATGAGGGTTTTCAATAATAACATGTGATCCTTTTTTTATTTCAATGATATCATGACACTACTAATACCCATTACTTCAAGTGTTGGAGTTAGGAATGTTATATAAAACGTTATAATAATCTTTGTTACAGCCGATAGTAAAACGCACATGTAAGATTGTTCTGTTATTATTGCCTTGATGTATTTTGCCTTCTATCCTAGTCTTCTAAGTAAGTACAGACGCGTTACTTGGGACACAAGTGTTTCGGATACTGTATTTGTCCGCATATTGGCAGCACTATTATAATATGTCCTGTGCAGTTAATCAGATTATTGGGAAGTGTAGTTGTCGTGGTTAAAAATCGGCTTTAACTTACTTAACAAATTTTGAATTAAGCCCTCTCCATAGTTAAGTCCAAGATAAGGCTTACCTTAATTCCATGAATATTTCTCCATTTTAAACTTATTTAACGTAGTCAAAAAGTTGACAATAGTACTCACAAGTAGCGAACTCAGTACTTTATAAGAGCCAAACCTCTAGAAACTAAATTGAATTTCCCCTTACCTTAAACTGCCTTAAAGTCAATGGTTCCTAACTCCATTTTTTAATTACATTATACGGAAAATAAGTAAAACCAGTTGCAAGCGTTGCGTGTCGGTGTAATATAAGCGGCGGGACTGGTCCCGTCATGAAGTGTTGTGGAATCGTGAATATGATCTGACTAGGCGCGCGGCTAGTTTCCTTGGAAAAGTAAAAGTAACTTGACACTTGACACAATGGGCTAAGTTAACCTGCCCATGGATAATCCATTTTTTTTGGAACATTTTATTTAGGGCTATATTATGAGGACGAATCAATTTATATCATTTATTATTAAATTATAAATAAATAATATATTTTCATGGACTTGCCGTACTGACATTTAATGGTGCACATAATGTATTCTTATTAAAATTACGCAAGCGCTAGTGATATTATTGCTTGACAAATCTTTTTTCAAATCTCAGCAGGGGTGAAGAACAGACGCGGTTAAGTGGTGTGACTGGTATGGCTCATGTTATTCTTGCATTTGCACATTGAAACGTGTCTTGTGTCGTAGTAGTAAGTCACACATTCGCCTATATGTTTGTTTTTGAGCTCGTGTATATTGGTGGGGAAAAACCGGTTCTATTAGCTAATTCACAAAGTTATAAATCGTTTGCTCGTCTTTTACGCTACCTGCTCCAGAGTTTTTGTGGTGTGTTACATTGCATGAACCACTTGTTGCTCGGGGGCACCATTATATATTTCGGTTATGTATAGTGTAAGGGATTGAAGGTTTGTCTCTATTGTAAAGAAGCGCGTATTCACAAAATAAGCTTCAAAGATTTATCAAAACAAACCAGATATCTTTATATTACTACAAACAGTTTTTAATAAGTATGTGATAAGTAAATTTAGTATAAAACCTCTGTAATGTTGAAAAGGCGTGAGGCGTGTTGTCTGTCTAAGATTAATTAGACTTCTTTCTTATTCTAAACTTAACATTAATATAATATGTTGTCGAGGGGTCTACACGGCACTACACTAAATCTCTTATATTTTTGTTATTGAACCTACTCGAGAAGACATACGTTTTATTAACACTAACTACTTACATCATAACACTACGTTACGCTGTCAAATTATATATATAGTTATATGAAGCTATTCAACACAATGAAGTATAATAATAAAGACATTTTTATAATAAATTTTACACGTTACATAAATGCGATTGCTAAATTCAGGTGATCTGAGCCCACAATTTCACAATACGTCGCATTCAATGCTTACAGTGGGAAATTTGAAAGGTGCTCCGCTGCCCTTAAACTTTTATTATTTCGACTGCTCGAAAAAAACTTAAAACCGTTGAGCACGTAAATACACCTACAACCGTCTACCTGCTGCCTATTTACAAATACAACCGCTCTGTATTATATTGAGATTTTTTTGTACAAGCCTTTAGATATTCAAAACTTTTGTTTCATAACCTTATTAAACCTGTTTCATAACCTTACTTAACCTTTATTCGGAAAATAGGCTATTAGAGGTTACAGGTTTTCTTATGATAACTGAATGTTTTAATTTTTTTACGTTTTAGGTAGTGATGCAACGAATACTACTTTTACGAATAGGAATACGAATATCAAACCGAATAGTACCTAAGTAAGCGAATACGAATACGAATATCTCGGCGTGGTAATAAAAAACTAATTTACTTGATGTTTTTCTATTGTTCTCATAATTATAATTTACAACAGGCAAATTTATTTAAGAGACATAAAATTTTTAAATTTTGGTTTTGGCTTTTCTTCAGTCTAGATGATGATGATAACCTACACTTTTATCGGTACCATACGTGAAAAGTAATTATAGACAAAACTCTTTTATTATTCGATCATGCAAATCTTTTAATGCTACAGCACATATTCACAACGTGGATATTGACTTATTATAATTCCAGCGTTCCCCAACTTAGGCGATCACTTTCTAACAATTTCTTTTCTTCTCGATAGTGTACTGTTACTTGCCATATACTTGTACATATCTGTTTTGACACAATCTTGTTTATTATAAAGTATTATATAAGTGAAAACTTGTAAATGGCCTTCATTTTTGTTATAATTATATTATTTTTGTAAATTAGCTGTACGTTTTCCAAGTAAATAATAAATATTAAATAAATAAATGTTCCCAGCCATTGAAAAAAGCCTTTCCAAAGCGACTGTACATGGTTTCAGTTAGAAATATTTGTGGGTGAGTTTTTTCAGCCTTGGAAAATGGACATCTTCTCGCCAAATAAAAAGCTTATGGATCAGCAGTCGGCGATACATTTGGGAGCTTTAGATAAACATCTCTACCTCGTGATTAGTTTGCGAATCCCCTGTAAAAACATTTTGAAATTAAATTTTACTTTTACTATCTAGTTGACAAT